CAAAAGAACACACGAAGGGTCACAAATAATTTTAAATTCAACTATAGATCATTTATATTTCTTGCTCTGTTACCCTAACGTTAACTTACTATTATGTGGGTTCCACATATGAATTTTTCAATTTTTTATTATAAAATATTATTGTGGGCCCCACATTATTTTTTAAATGGATTAAGGGTCAATTTTATTCTTGAAATATACGTGAAAGCTCAAAAAAAAATTCCTAAACTCAATTTGAAATTAATTTTATCCCTAAACTGCCAAGATTTTTAAACTTATCACCTTGCCATTTTCTTTGTTTATTTTCTCTATTAATGAGGCCCATTTTAATTTTTATTATAAAATATTTAAGTAGGTCCCACCAATCACTTTTTAATTTTTTTTTTCTTCTCTCTCCCCTTTCTCCTTCATCGTTTGAATCAAAGACATGTATCATCTAACAAGCTAAGTCTTTGTGTAGAAGCTCCTTAATGGAGAGCAACATGCACTCAATCTATGACTAGAGATGCAACATGCACTCATTCAGAGCAAAATTCTAAATGAAAAATGAAAAACATAATGCTTAAAGGCTAGCTTTACATTACAAAATATCACTTAGGTAATTCAAGCCCAAAACTTGGGCCAAATAGCAACTTGCATATAAGCATACATGTTGCACTTTGAGCATGGCTCAAAGCAATTATAGTGCTAATCCCCTCATCTACCTAGCCCCTTCTTGCAGATTCTAACATAGCATGGTTGTTTTGCAAGATTTGGCTTTTTTTTTTTATTTGAAGATTGAATCATGGTTAGCCTATGCTTGAATGATGACATTCCAAGATTGTTCATTCCCTCTCTCTTCCCATCAACAACAATTCCAACCACTCTTACACAACTTTGATTCAAATGACTGAAAGAGAGAGGGGGGAGAGAGGAGGAGGAAAAAATATTAAAAAATAATTGGTGGGGCCCATTGAAATATTTTATAATAAAAATATTAAAAAAATTAAAATGACTCCATTAATAGAGAAAATAAATAAAAAAAATAGCAAGGTGATAAATTTAAAAATCTTAGTGGTTGAGGGATAAAATTGATCTCAAATTGAGTTTAAGATCATTTGTGATCCTTTATATATATTTTAAGGATAAATTGACCCCTAACCCATTAAAAAAATGTGGAGCCCACAAGTAATATTTTATAATAAGAACATTAAAAATTCATATGTGGGACCCATAGAAATGTAAGTTAATGCCAATGTAACGGAGTAACGATTTTTTAAGTTGAGGGATTTAAATGACTTAGTTAAGTTCAAGATCATTTGTGACTCTTTGTATGCACTTCAAGGATATTTTTGACCCTTAACTCTTATAAAAAGAAAGATGTGTGCAAATTTCAATATAGCTTATTAAAAATTACAACATATTTTCTAAAAATAAATACTTATTTTAACATGATTTAAACTAATTCAAGCTTTTGGCCAAAAAAAAAAAAACTACTTCAAGCTGAATGAAACTAATTAGAAACCGAATCAAACAAATTAAGTAGGGTCTCAACATTGAGTGAATCCATGAATTTGGTTCAAATGGGCTTTCCATGGCGGAAAAAGTAAATCAAGCCGTACTTCTAAACATCCCAACAAGAACCATTGTCTGCTTTTGTGTCTCTTACTAGTGCTGACTGACTCTTTAGGTCATGAAACAAATGCAGGTAGCTGCTAAATTGGAGACACACTTGTGTCGGTCACATGTTGATTGAAACAAGCATACCGTTTCTTTAGAGATTGATGCATAGTTGGACTTGGCGGATGAATTAAAAAGCCTAATGAAGTACTCTGTGGGCACCGACTTCGCTGAAATAATGGGTACTCGTAACGTGACCCTAACATATTTTTCTGAAAACAGTTACGATAATCCTCACCCTAAGGCCTAAAAAAGAAAAAAAGAAATACTAAATTATTCAGCTTGTGGAAGAATTTGGCTCCACTCTTGCACGCGCGCGCAAGCTTATAAATTCATAGATTGTGTGAATTTCATAAAATGTCACGTTTGTCAATTGTCATCCTGCAATGATTTAACATTCACTTGAGAGAGCTTTATTTCTCTGAAAGCTGCTTCGTGGTCACAATTTGGTTAATGCTTACTGAGATGTCACTTCCCAAATCATCCATGTGACAGTTATAAGGAGGCACAAGGAACTGATGTAACCGATTGCTTAAAGAGAGAGACCTAAGAAAACATAGAGACCCTAGCTAGCTATATATATATATATATATATATATGTGATGGAGGAGAAGTAAAGATCGATATTTTCACTTTCAGTTTGATTGATTTAATTAAAAAATGGACCGTTGTGTGGAAGGATGTTGAGAGGCTAAGAGATAACTGCCGACCTAGGCAAGCTAGGCAATGGAAATTTGAGAAGAAGATGGAGGAACAGTGAAAGAAATAATTTCGCACAGTTACAGAAACAATTAAGGTACGGGACAACAAACCTTGAAATGCTGCCGACTGCCCAAACAGTGCTAATAACAAGGTTCATTGTCATGTGCATGTGTCTTCTCACTGCTTGACTCTTACTGATTCAATTCATGACTGTACGTATATGTCCACACACACTAGTTTAAGTGAGATGAGCATGATGAGTATACTTAGAGTAATATTTTTGCAAGAAGATCTAATTCTATATATATATATATATATGTGCATGTCATTTCCGGATGAGTGTGGGACATTTAGGCGAAAATTAAGCATTGAATCATCACCGAAAGCAGGAGGAGAGCCATCTGGGGATGTCTGAAAATCAAAGGACAGTGAGGTTTGGTTGCTTGAGGATGTCCATTCTTGTGGTTCCTCCAATCATCAGAGGACACGTATGATATATACGCAGTAATTGTGCGTGATCGGGTCTCTGTCTTTCCAAACAAAACAAATCTGGCTTCTGGTGCATTGTAACCGCAAAGTTAGGGCAAGATTAATAATATAAGTCAGGTCAATAACGCCAAACCCTCCAATTATTGGCCTTGTCTCTACTACTCTACCCTATACTCTTAAATTTGTATTTAATTAGTGGCCTAAATTCACTCACTCAATAAATATTCTAATTATAATTGTTAAATTTTGTCAACATTTAAAAATTATTAAGGTGTATTTTTTTAAAAAAAATTTAGAACAATTCTCATGATTAGAATACTGCTCATCTATATATATTCATCATTTTCAAAATTTTAAGATTTGTTATTTTCTAAGTATCATATGACAATTTTAAGAGTTGTTATCATGTCATACCAGATATTCATTGAATAAGTATATTCATGCTACTCACGAGATCCAAATCCTTATTCTTCCCTACACACTTTATATATCATTGGATTGAATTTGATAATTTAAAAAAAAAAAACTATACATTAGTCTATAATGTTAAAATTTAGTCTCAACAGTTTATATTTGTAGTGGAGGTGTAACGAATTGAGAAACTTAGCTAGTAAAGAGAAGCCCAAGTTTGTTGAGTCCGGGGCCTTTATCTTGTTTTTTTTTTTTAAAAAATTAATATAACTATTCAAATATATAACTTTTCTAAAGCCATGCAATATTTTAAGTAGAAACAAATTAATTATTGAAATAAATAAACGTTAATCATGTCAGTAAATAATAAAATAACAATATACATGGTCACTCATCATAATTGTATATAATATATTTACTTTTTCTATTATAAGATTTCAATAGATTCTTCCATTAATTTAATTATTGGACGTTAATCTTTAGTGGTTTCATCTTGATGTGAAGGGTTTGTGGCGTCTGGCATGATGAATGCTTTGATTTCTGAAAAATATTGGAACATGGAGAGAGAAAGAAACAACAATATCTAATACGGGCCCTATAACAAAAAATCCCTCCTTATTTTAACATCAAGATTATTTTGCGGATTCTCGCTTTAAATTTTTTACTAATAAAGTTACAATCTTAAATTGCATGTGATGGTAAAAAAGTTTCACACTTGCCCAGCACCCACACAGGAACCAAATGGTGCTATAATATAATATAATATGAAACTTAATGGATGATTCAATGACCTCACTATTTGAATTAAACACTTTAACAAGTTTTCCTAATTGCTTCTAAATTATACAATCCATTAATTGGTAATAAGTACCAATAAACATTTCTGTCTACATTTACCAATCTTTTAATTTAATTGTTTCGTCACATGCGCTAGCTCACTCTTGTGAATTGATGAGCTCAGGAGTAACGTGGGAAGCTAGCCGATCGAACACAAATTAAAACAGATGCATGAGATCAGTTTGTGAATTGGATTAATCAAATATATAGGACAGGATTCTGTGAAGTGAAATTCACCAAAACAGTTACAGAAACCTAAAAGATCGATGACTGTAGTGCTGTCTTCTGTTATTGTTGGTTGACCCGTGCCTAGCTAGCTACATTATTTCATTACATTTTTCGGTTCCTATTTCACCAACCCTTGAAGTTAGATGTTGTATGAACAGGACATCAATCAACGGAGAGGATGTAACATATATAGAAAGGTTCTAAAAGTTTCTACTTTTAATTAAACGCGGCATATATAGACGTCCGTCGTATATAATTTCTTCATCAGTAACGCATTCTCAATCTGAAATGTGAAGAGAGAAACAACAAGGGACATACCTTTTCTGAAGGGACATTTCTGGGGGGACAATCAAATAGAGGATGATGTTTTGGTGACATTAACATCTGCAATCTTAGGGTGTAATAAAAAACCCTAATTATTTAAATCTTGCCTTCTGGCCGGATACATGCATCAGAAAAAATGATATTGGCGTCAGAAACTATAAAATCCACTGTGATGGTGGACCATGTTCTGTAGAAAGCGTGACACAAGGGCCCTGATTAGAACTATTCAAGATAATCGAAATCTGTGTGTTATTTCAAGTAATTAACTTTGAAGTTCTCTTCCCTAAATCTATCTCTATTTAAACTGCTCCTCAGGTCCTCTTCTCGAGAGCAACGAACACGAAAGAGAGCCAAAAGTTAATTTCTTTCACTGACCACCATCATGTCCAGCCGAAGAACATCTTCGAACCTCTCAGAGAATGAGATTAATGAGGTTGTTTCAAGGTTACAGGCAGTACTGCCACGACTGAACCGAAGAACCAACTCAAGGGTACGTATCTATGACTTCATTAATTGAGATAGTAATATAAATCCCGTAGCTAGTTAACAATGAAGAAGTGTCACTATTATGGGTTTTGGCGCAGGCATCAGTATCGAAGGTTGTGAAAGAAGCTTGCTGTCACGTGAAGAAGCTTCAGAAAGAGGTGGACGAGCTCAGTGACAGACTATCAAGGCTGATGGATTCCACGGATATCAGTGATATTGACGAACAAAGCCTTCGAAATATTCTACAACAATGAAATTTATATCGTGTTTCGACTCCGCCTCCACCATAATAGTTGTATTTCCAAGTCATTTGGTCTTTAGTGCTTTTCGGATGAACAATGTGACATAGCCATACTTTGTGTTTACTCGTATCGACTAGTATCTTGAGACATGCAGACAACCTGGTATCCTCTTTACTACTATCTTTAGGTGATGACCACATACATGCAGTGATTAAAATTCTTAGGTGGTGGCTGTACATTACATATGATTTTTAAATTAAAGAGTGGCTTGTCTTAGTTGTAATTTAGAAATGTTGTAATTTGTTACGCTTTTATATATTATTATTATTGTATAATTCTTGATATTCATTTTTTTCCTTAGTTTTTTTTTTAGGTTTACTTAAACTTTATTGAGATAACTAATTATTTTTCCTCTTTTATCTTGGGTTTATCCGGCCCTAGTGAAGCTAATACTAATGTTAAATATTTTAAGTTCAAGTGCAAAATGTAAGAGGGAGCTAAACTAAAATGAGCGTAGGCCTAGAATTTAGAAACTAAGCTTTATACAGAATGAGTTATCAATTGAAATCAAATAGCCTTTGTATGAACCTTGAATCCCATAGTAAAATTACCAAGTGAGATTCATAGGGGACTCTTAACTTTTTACTCGGGCTCTCGTTGATTCTCTCCCATAGAGCCAGAGGTTCTTACAAGCCAAATTCCATTGATTCAATCTAATAAATCTGATGAATAATATTCTTAAAAACTTCATTTATCTCCGGTGATATAACCAAAAAATAAATTATACGGAGCAACATTTATTGTAATTTCTGAATATGGCGGTTGCAAAATTTTGGACGAAAGACTATGTTTGCGTGAAAATTTTCCTAAATTGTAATTATAATTGTATCCTGCTGCTTCCAAAAAGAAAAAGGTCGCCAGGTAGGGCCCTCTCTCTCACACAAAAGAGATAATTGAAAAAAAAAAAAAATCGATGAAGAAGTTTTGGTGGAGGCCGTGGGTTTGGCTGTGTAGAGTACTCAAACATCAGCTCTTACTAAATAAGTCTTCATTCTAAAAATAGGCTTTTTTAACCCCCATGTTCGGAGTTGACGACCGGTTCATTGAAGGATGCTCACAAGCAAAAAAAGAAAAAAAAAAATCTATTTGGGTACGATTAGAAATTCAATCAATGGGAGAAAGGGGAAAGCATGAATGATCTGAGATTTAGAAAGTAACTAGGGCCTATTTGTTTTTTATTTTTAAAAATTATCTTTTATTTTTAAAAACAAAAAAGATTAAAAATTTATTTAAAAAAGTGTTTTTATTTAGTTGTTTTCAAAAATGTTTTCATTTTTTATTTTTAAAAATAAAAATAATTTTAAATTGTTTTCGTTTTATTTTTTTGTTTTTAAAATATGCTACATTTAATTATTAAAAATTATAGTTATCTTGACTAACTTATACTATTAATTACTATTATTAACTGCTTATAATCATTATTATCAATCCATATTTAATTTTAAAATTATTTTTTAATTGACATAATCAAACTAATTTTTATTTTATTTTGTTTTAAAAAAATTTGAAAATTGTATTTTAGTATAATTTTTAAAAATAAAAAATGAGAACAGAAAGTAAACAGGCTCTAATCACTTTTGTTTTGTTAAATAGAGACACTTGAATGGAGGAAAAAAACCAAAGCCAGCTTCATCTTAGAAAATTGTAGTCGACTTTATTAATATATTTTGATACAGTATCTAATATGTATATGGGGTTAGATATGGGTATTATCAAGTTCAAGTGGGTAAATCTGGTTTATACGGATTGAATAAAGTAACTTGGACAGCTCCCTATGGTGGAAGTAAAAGCAATTTTCTTTTATATGTCACTGAGGAAGGAATATAAGTGGAAACCATTGTGGAAGGAACATATGTTGTTGCTCTCTCAGGAGAGTTTAGTTAGGCTGTGTTTGAATTGGTAAATTTAAATTAAAAATTTAAATTTAAAATTTTATATTTAAAATTTTACATTTGAAATTCAAAGATTTTAAATTATTTATTTAGATAATATAAAAAATTTTAAATTATAATATTAAAATCCTTTGTTTAGATCTAAAGTAAAATTTTAAATTTTAAATTCTATATTTAAATTTAAAAAAAATTTAAAAGATTTGTCAAACTTGACAATTCAAATAATCAACTTTTAACAGGATTAGACAAACAAAGTCGACTGGAACTGTGGCACTAGTTACAACCGAGACAAAACCTTCAACTTCCATCAGGATTGGACCATCGCAACGACAAGGATGGGAGGACAAACTTCCATCGAGATTGGACTGATGGCGATGATGGGGAGGGACGACCCACTTTCATCGGGATTGGACTGACGACGATAAGGGAGACCGAATGGTTGACTTTCATTGGAACTGGACCTGACCGATGGTGACTTCCTTAAAGTGATAGAGGTTAGAAGTTTGAGTCTGGAAAGACTCTAAAAGATCTCTTTGGTGGGTTGAGGAATAACTCAAGTATCACTTTGAAAAAAAAATGGCCTTTGCTATAATGATGTGAGTGGGCCCAATCAAAAAGACCCCTGAGTGGGTGGGGTGAGGGCTATTACATAATTGTTTATATTGAATTAACAAGTGACATTTGTAAAATAATAATAATTTATTTTGAAATTAATAAGAATCTATTATAGTTTTAACAAGTTGGAAAATTGATAGGAAGAATTTAGTTGTACATGTTAGTTATTTACTAACAAGTATCTGTTTGAATTTGACAACAACCTATTTGTGATTGATGATAATATATTAGAACATTTAACAAGTAAAATGAGTGAAGTTTTGAAGCTTTCAATTTGTAATTGTCCATATCAGAACAAAAAGTTTATTTTTTAAATAAAATGTCACTGGCGTCGGAGCTTCAGTGATCAGGGACCCCACCGGCAGCAGGGATTTCTATAACCTCACTATCGACTATAGTCCAACGGGGGCACCGACGACGACAGGGGTTTCTTTTTTCTTTTTAACTACTTGAGGGGCATTTCAGTCTTTTTATTTATGAAATTAATGTGTCAGAAGGACAAGAGGACTGCAAAGCTATTTTGAAATCATTTGGTCCTTATGTGATATAAATTTTATACAATAATCCTTGAATGCTATTTTCCCTTAATGTTTATGTCACAGTTACACCCCATCATCAATCAATCAATACATATACATTTTGTGATACAATTAGAATATTTACACACAAGTTTTTTTTTTAATACATGGTCATGGATAATTGTACAAGAAAACAAAATCAAAACATGTCTTCTCTCATAAGGATTCTCTTTTTTTTTTTAACAAGTCTTCTCTTATAGGGATTCAACACCCTTGAGTCATTAAAAATCAAAATATTAAATTTGTCATTTAGTACTTGATGAGCAAGCTAATTTGCGCATTTATTAGCTTATCTGAACACATGATCAAAAGTACTCATCCAATCTTGAACAGGCATCGAGGTGATGTCCTTTTGAACAAGCATCAAAGCTTCAATGGAGTCAAAGTAGATGTTTACATTGGTGAGCTTGTTCCTCTTACAAAGTTTGAGACTCTTAAAAATGCCTAAAAGTTTAGAGGCAATGTTGGGATGATAACCAAGGTATTTAAAAAAATCTTTTAACCAATTGACAACAACATTGGTGGAGATTAAGTCATTTATGTCCAGTCTAATCCAATCAAGTTTGGGTGGAATCCATCTTGTTAGAGATTTGTCATGGTCCAAATCCACATTCCTGCACCGTGATTGAAGATTAAGATAATTAATAATGCCTTAGGCACATGTGAAAATGATATCTTTGACATGAGGATACACTTTAGAATAAATTGAGTTGCAACAATCTTTCCAAATGTTCTAGCATAAATGAGCAAAAAATTTACTTCATGGGGTTCTTTTATTATCCAAACTTATAAGGCCCTGTTTGGTACAAAAGACTAGAAAGGTAGGACTGAAATTAGAACTAATCAATAACAACTTTTTATGTTTGATATGAGATATTTAAAAATTTAATACCAATGCCAAGCCCATTTACATGAAATTATCCAATACCACCAACCTCTCTGATATTGAAAAATCAATCCATAGATTGAAATTGATTGTTTTGTGACTAAATTGCCCTTTCATCCTCCCTCCCTCATCTCTCTCCCTGACCTTCCACCCATCACTCATGTAGCCAAGCTTCTTCTTCCATGGCCACCTCCTTTTGCTGATGCCATCGTCCCCAAAGCAATGACCTTCCCTTTTCGTCCATCTTCCTCCCACAAATTCAAATTCAAGTTTCCATTGATGGGTTCAAGCAACTTGACTTTGCCAGATCTGCATTCACCTTCGTCCCACCATCATCACTCACGAGTCACGAGTTCTCCCTACCTTACAATTCTGAACAACTACTCACAAGTTCAGATTTGTGTATTTTTTATTCGTCCGTCCCTTTTGATATATTTTGGGTTTAAACATAAAAAGAAGATCAAGTTTTGTTAGCAAAACTTGAGATTAGTCTTAAGTTCAGATTTGTATGCACTAGTTTTGAGTTTGAATCTGCTTGCCTCAACACTTACTCATACCTTTCACCAAGTATTTTGTAATCAATCACACTTGCTCGTGCCTTTCAATAGTAAAAGGCATGAAGATGATGAGCTTCATTCTATTTCCCTCACCTAAAACAACTTGCTCATATCTTCTCGCATTTGATTGGAGAATGATGTAGATTCGATTTTGACACTAAGTTTGAGATAAGGTTGCAGAGGAAGTATTGCAGATATGAGTTTGAGACAATTTTTTAATGGTGAATCATAAGGGTCATTATAGTGTTTTGATAATTTGTGATAGAGTATAAAATAAAATTATTACAAGTATTTCATCAAAATATTACTCTATGCCAAACATATTTTTAAAACTTCAACCACAGCTCTAATCCCAATACCAATCCCTTAAAATTCATACCTTCATGCCAAATAGCGCCTAACATTATCCTTTACACTCAAGTTTTGAGCAATGGTGTTATACCAGGATAAGACATCCAATCTTTGGTTTCTAATGAAAACATAATCTAATTACATTAAAAATGAGCGAATTTTTTTTAACAAATAGAAACTCTTTTTTGGGAATAAAAGGAATCCATTGAAACTGGAAGTTCAACGTTACAAAAGAAAAACAAACGAACAACCTTAACAAAGAAACACCCTAATAAACCCTCTCAACATCCACCACCTTGTGGAAACACCCTAATAAACCCTCTCAACATCCACCACCTTAATACACAAGGTGGTGGATGATCAAACATTCAATTAGGTCATGAGAAGTTCCAGCTAAAAGATTTACACATTCATTAGCTTCTCTGAAGTTGAAAACAAAAATAACAAACCAATCTCTCAGAAATAAATTTCTAATATTTTGAATCTCATCATGGAAAGAATGGTCAGCGACATTATCACGCAAAATCAGATTCAAAGCTTTCCCTTGCCAATATTAAGAGATTAATATAAATCATGGAAAGACAGGAATAAGACGGATTCAAACCTTCTCCACATTCTCTCTCATTACATCTCTTCGTTTACAATCTTGTCCGTTTATTTGATTGTTTATTAGGTTTAACAATTTAAGATCGCCAATTATAAAATTAAACTAGATATATTATGTAGTTAAATAATATTATGAAGAACTATCATGATATTATTTTCAAAAAAATTTAAATGATAGAAATATATATATGCCCATTAAATCAAATAGATAAACAAATCAAGGGATATAATTTGTCCATGAACAGGCACATTGAAAGATGTAAATCTCGGATTGACACAGGATACTGCCTTGTATTTCGATGAAGTAATAATAACCTATTCGCCAGTCAGAAAAGTAAATAAACTCCAGAATACTGAAATCATAAAAGAACAATATAGTACTTCGAATGACATCACAAATAGTGAACTTCTCTTAAGTCTTGCCACCCGTTCAATCGGTCATTTCCTCATTGGTCTATTCTAGTTGCAACTTACTAGCCATCCCCAACCAACATGAAGGATCATAGACTATAATATGAAGTTCCACAAAAAGTAAACTATCAAATTTAAACCAGAAGCTACAACTTACTAGAGGGGTACTGAATTACTGATGCCAACGGACAAATCAATGACCTCAAAGTCTTGGAACTCGGAGCAAAACTTGTAAATTTAGAATAGATAATTTTCCATGACATAACTCAGGGAAAGCTTTCTTCAAACAAGAAACAAGGAGGCTTGTAAAGTATGACACTGAATCATGCAGTAAAACTAACAATACTAACGACACAAAAACAGACAGCAGATCTAAAAGTACCAGCGAAAGGATAAATCCATAATTTACTCCTCATCCTCCTCATCTCCATCTCCACCAGCAGCCTTCTTGGCAGCAGCCCTTTGGTTCTTTCTCTTCACTCTTCCAGGACGTCCACCTCCGAATGGACTTGTGAGTGAAAAATCAATGTGCTTCTGGGAATCAACTCGCACCATGAAAGATGGGATGTTCACCACCTGCCTCCCAACCCTGGCAAGCCCAAAAAGATAAAAGTTAATTTCCTAAGGGAAAAAATCATACAATAACTGATTGCAGCAGTAGATATGCGTTCACAAGAGTCACTATAAATTTATATTATCTAAAATTAGTCATAGATAAGGAATGAATCTTAACTACAATAACTACAAATAGCAGCTCTCCAAACACACATGCAATTAGTCCTGTTGGAACAAAGTCCGTTGTTCAATACTTGGAGGAACAATAACTTTCTAGACAAATTGATTTTAATCTTTATTTATCTATCGAAGAAGCAAGCAACACAAGGTGAACCAAGATTATGTTAAAAAATGATAATCATACAAGATACAAGAACACATTTCACAAATTAGCTGGAAAAAAAAAAACAGGGGGCCTATATAACACAAATCTCGTCAAACAGGGAAGCTATTTTACAGCAGGTAAGAATTTCTGAACTTCTCGCATTAGGAAGGCAGTTATACCGGGCATTAAGATCCAAAATATTCATATATATGAATTAACTATAATAGCAAAGTTGCTTGACACTAATATTTTAATTTTAACTGAATTAAAAGAGATTGGGCAGATAGAAAACCTGATATGCCTCTGCCTGATGAGGACCCTAGCATGATGAATTGACTTGGCCATCCCTGATTTGAACACAAGTGTCTGAAGACGACGCTCGAGGAAGTTCTCCACGGTCAAAGCCAAGACGTAATCGAGCTTGTTCTGACTCTCGTCCAAAAGCCCATAACGAAACATCCTTCGCAGAAGAGCTTCACCCTCGAAGATCCGACGTGGGTTCTTCTCATCAAGGGTCAAAAGCTCCCTTGCGTTATTACGGATACGACTCAAAGCGTACTGAACCCTCCACAGCTCCCTTTTGCAGCGAAGTCCATACTCTCCCACAAGCTTCAACTCAGCATCCAAACGTTCCTTCTCATATGGACGGCGAGGCTTCTTGAAGGTCTTCCCATCTATTTATGAATGCAATATGCCATATTATCAATTGATCACCGAAACTTTCCGGAATGGTTAGATAGGTACGACCAGATTCAAAAAAGTTACTTCAACAATGGCAGAAAAAAAAAGTTGAACACCATATGATAAAATAACCGCAAATAATCAAGAGAACATCAGCAGTCATCAAATTAACCAGAAGCAAGCATTGTTCAATGAGAAAATCTATTAACATAGTTAAAATTCACAGCACCCCGGATGGCAAACTAGCGATCAGTCTAGAGAGACTTACAGTTACGGTAGAATGAAACGTGAACCATGGCTCTTGTTCGTCGGAGCCGTCAGCTCACGTTCTCTGGCTTCTTCCTTGCGGCGCCCTAGGTATCCTGCTGAGAAGTGAGAAATGCGTAGCTGCAGCCTTTTGAAGGCACCTCAAGGCCAAAAACCCTAATTCCCTGCAAAGGAGGTTTGGGCTTGAGGCCTGATAAGAGGAAAAAAGCCCATATAATGTCCGTTCCTCATGTAACCCAACTATTGGCCCAACCATCTATTAAACATTCAAACCGATTGCGATTAACCTGCACTGCTTTCTCCATCAGACCCAGAGAAATATCTTTTTCCCAAAAAAATTAGAGCAATTATTTAGTGGAGTTATGTAAAACACCAAAAAAGTCTCAAATTCTTCTCGAACAAAAATGATTATAATTCTAGTTATAATTAAATGCATTTTCTCGTATATTACTCAGTCGTTTAGTGTTATAATAAAAAACTTGATGGGAATTCCTGTTTTATTTTCTTGAAAAGATATAGAATGGTATTTTATACCCCCCCAAAAAAAATCACCTGTTAATTTAGACGTATCTTTACCATTTACCAATCAAATTAGAACAAGTAAATTAAATCATGAACCAAGTTAAAACTAATAATAAAAAAGGCTTAGTTTTTTTTTTAATGAAAAGGGCTTGTTTATTGGGTAACTAATGAATGAGATATATATTTTCTGGTTTAATTGAAAAGGAAGCATAACTTAATTATGTAAGCAATAGTTGGCATTTTTTATGGGGCTGCTATATTTTTTCTTAAATAAATACTTATTTCAAATTTAAAATTTAGATTTAAATACGCCAGCATCTTCCTCAGAAAAGCCCTTTCAGTTACGTATGAGATTGCATAAACCAAATAATATTTTTGGTACTGCTAATGATAACGATGGTCTATTTTTCATGTTGTCAACAAGACTGCAAATCAAAAGCCTAGTGCCTCTTTCAATAAGAAATATAATTAATTTTAGAAGTTAAAATTATAATTTTGAGAAAAAAAATATTCAAACGTCTCTAACAATCCTTTTTCGAGGCAGAATATATAATCTGTTATTTTTTATACCACGTAAACAAAACAAAAACAAAACATGTTTTATAGTTATGTCATGAAAGAATGTCTTGGAATTTTTTTTTCCCCAGAAGTCGAGGCACAGTAATCTTTTTTACAAAGTTCGATCCTTTCAATGAAGCAGGCAAGCGGTCAGCGCAAAAATTACAGCTGGAATTGAAAGAAACAAATTTTTTTTTTTTTTGTTATTGTGGTCATCAGCGAAGAGTGATAGAGTGTGTGTGTGTGTGTGTATTTACCAAAAATAGCAAAAGCATTGTTCCGATCCTGATGCAGAAACTGAAAGCGCTTGCGTTAACGACATAACATGGCCTTTTTTTATATATTCAGTACTGGAAAATTTAAAAAAAAAATATGTAGAGGTTATTTTATTGGCTGACCAAAGACACATAAATAAATTAAAGAAAAATGGAGGCTTTGAAAGAATTTCTGGCGAGCTGACGTTACATGCAAAACCAAAAGAAAAGAATCAACGGGATTCGACTCCCCCGCGTTTTCCCCCAACAGAATCGTACTTTTTATTTTTAAAAACGAAATCTTTTTCCTTTTCACTTGGCACCAAAATAGGATGGTGACATCATCCGATTCAAATCAAACTAACTAATTTGCAAGCCAATTATCTCAAAATCCATTAGTTAATGAACTCCTTCCATTGATAATTAAGATTGATAATTCTTGGATTAAAAAAAAAAACAAAAGAAAAAGAACAGAAAAGATTGGCTTCCCACCCGCTGGTTCCTGCGTTAACTTTTGCGTCGATGGTGAGTGGAGTGGATACATGAATTGGCAGCACTGCAGAGTCTGAGTTTTCGTGTGTCCTCTTCCATTCTCTTTCCTTCGGCATTCTCAATCATTCACTCGCCGTTCAATTCCATTTCGCTGCCCTCCCTATTTTACCCTAAATTTGTTCATCCGTTCCTAAGATTTCGTCCCTAAATCTTGACCCCTCCCTCTAAACGAGTCAGCGTAGTCATCGTCATTTCCTTCTTCGTCTTCTTCTATCTTCTTCCATTTCCATCTCCCCCCCCCTCTCCTTCGTGGGCTCTTGTGAAGGATAGCTTTCCTTGGATTTTAGCAGAAATGGCGTCGAGTATAGGTATCATGGACAGTGCCTATTTTGTCGGTAGGAATGAGATTTTGAATTGGATCAACAATAGACTTCAGCTGAATCTCTCACGCATTGAGGAGGTAACTTCGGGTTTTCTTTTGCGTGTTATGCTATACTTTCTGGGACTTGTCTTCTTGCATCTTCCATTTCTTGCTTGCTGCATTGTGTCAAATCTGTTTCTTGTTCCCTAAATGGCATTAAACAAAATTCTTCCGGGGTGTTACACTAAGGCTGAAGGATTTCTTCCGTTTCTTTACGTATCCAGGAAGAGTGTTGCCTCCTGGGGTCTTTCCCTTGTGCTAGATGACGTCCTAGAGAAACTAGTTATCCTGTTAAATTTCTTGTCATCAACTTTCTAGAAAGACCCAAGCTCGAATTTCATAAAAAGATAGTACCTCTAGATAAGGTGGGATTAAAGCCTAGAAGGATCTTGCTTGAAGTCTACAAGGTTGAAGTCTGATAGTCTTAATTGTAATTCATTTCAATATTGATTAGACGTGTGAAAAATTCCCCTTCTGATTTGTATCAGCATGATAAATTTTTCCCTCTGTTTGTTTTAAATTCTGGATTCAGTTTTCCTACTCAAGATAAATTCGCTGCTGAGTTGCTTTTTATATTTTCAAGACATCATTCCTCTGAACAAATGCCCTGTTTCTGTAGGTAGTAGATTGTAAGTAATTCTCGCGTAGTATACTGCCTATTTCCAAACTTTTAACTTTTAGAAGTTTTGAAGTTGGGATTTCTACAAAACAATTTTGACTATTTTTTTTTTCCCTTAAAAAGAAGAATGTAATTTTACTCCAAATTGGCTGATGTTGCATTTGAATAGGCCCACATATTACGGTTGACTTGCTGATTTTAAACTAAATGAATATGGATTTTTAAAAAGAAGTTGGCATTTACACTGTCTCAATTGTCAATGCTGTTTTCAAATTTTGAAATTTGTGTGACTATCATCATTTTTGTGTGCCTTCTCCTTCTTCTCCTTCTTTATTGCTTTCAGTTTGGGAGGGAATGAATTTATTTCATCATCAAAGATGACTCTGCTGATGACCTGAAAATTGACCTATCTCTGGTGGAATACTACTTTTGATTCTTATCCTCTTTTATTCTCTTGGCTAGGCTGCATCTGGTGCTGTGCAATGCCAGATGATGGACTTGACATATCCAGGGGTTGTTCCAATGCACAAGGTGGCTACATGGCTTCACTTATCCTTTCTGCTCTGATCTTCTAATATATATTTTTTGAAATATGTGTAACTTCTGCAATCTGGCATTTATTCTAGGTGAATTTTGATGCAAAAACAGAGTATGATATGATACAGAATTACAAAATTCTGCAGGAAACGTTTAACAAGCTGAAAATTGACAAGGTAATTCCATTTGTAATTTGTATGCTAACGAGCAACTGTTCTTCCTGGATGATATCCGTTAGTCATTTAGTTGTCACCTCTACCGTTCTTTTTTTTTTTTTTTTTTTGGTGTCTTGCTGTTCTTCAATTCCAATTTGCATTATATTGTCATTCCTGGTAGTACTGAATTTAGTTTGAAATATAATGTTTATAGAAGTACCTTACTCTCATGAATTACGAAATATGGAAAATGGGAAATATTGCTGGGCAGCTGCCTTATTATAAATTTTGGTAATATATCTGTTCATTGTCTTTCATGTTAGTACAACCTCACGGTAACCATCATTTCTTTATTTGGGGTTTCAATGGGATGATTTACCATCAATAAAGTTTTTCCATATTGGCTGTTAGTTTCCTTATTGATGTTCAAATATACTGTTATCTGGGTATGCTTAATGGCACAATTCCACTTCAAATTCAGGTCTCTTATTTTTTTTCTTACTTATGTTGTTATCCTCTTCCCCTGCGGATACTACCTTGGTGTTTGTTTTTTAATTTGGTTGTGATATCCAACCCCAATATTGTTGGTTGCATCAGTTCTATGCCATGAAGTGAATAATCGTCATGATTTATGTAAAAGACAAAAATACGTGTGTGTTTTTGTGTGAATGTAAGTATGTATGTATGCAAAGATTGCTATGAAATTACCATAGCATAATCATAACTTGTGCTTGCTTTTATTGGGCTTATGTTACTACCCTGTCACAGCATATTGAAGTTAACAGGCTTGTTAAAGGACGACCTTTGGACAACTTGGAGTTCTTACAGTGGCTGAAACGCCACTGTGATTCTGTGAATGGTGGCATTGTCAATGAGTATGATACTTGCTCTGAATATCCTTTTCATCATTTGGTACACCTTTATTTATTTAGACAAGTCATATTGTGACATGCATACAAGTTATTCATATTTTACCGTATTTGTGTCAAATCTTGTCCTTTCTTCCAGGAACTATAATCCTGTGGAGCGAAGGAATAAAGGTGGAAAGGACCGGACTAAGAGTTCTATGAGGAACACAAAATCACTGCAGACGAACATCATGAATAATCCTGCTTCAAGCAATTCATTCAATTCTAATAGAACTTCTGGTTGGCTTATTGGCATCTCCTAAGTCTGAACTGCAATTTTCCTTTAAGTTTTACTGCGTTACTTGTTTGTTTTCTTCTCTGATTTCCTGGTCACTTATTTGGCTCATTCCTTGAGTATAGCGTCCAAACAATTTCAGCCAAGTGAAGCAGCTTCTTCAGCAGAGATTCAGGCTTTGTCAAAGGAGGTACAAGCGTTAGGTCCTCTATATTTGACGTTCTGTACCAAGGAAATGGCTACATAAATAGTTGATTCCCCCTTTGCATGTTTCTGCTGTGCTTCCACAGCCTCACTCAACTAAATTCATATGCTCTATATTGGCATTCCCTTTCAGAGTTTGTTGCTAAAAAATTTAATTGGAAAAATCTGTTTACCTTCTTAGTTTGTTCATTGTTTAGCTCTTGATTCTTCTGTTTCACAGGTTACTGATCTCAAACTATCTGTGGATCTCCTGGAAAAAGAAAGAGACTTTTACTTTGCAAAATTGAGGGATGTAGAAATTCTTTGCCAGACCCCAGAACTAGAGAATCTCCCTGTAAGAGTTCCCATGAAGGCTTGCATTGCTTCCCCCCACCGCCCAAAAACACTTTTTCAGTGATAATGTCTAGCTCTTGTGCTCTTTAGCCCGTCACACGCTATTCCCATGTTTTAGCAAATGAGTTTCTATTATCTATATTCCCGAAGACCTTTATGTTTGACTGGATTATGGGGCCATGCATCTTGAAAGTGATTGTATAAAAAGGATAGGTTTTGGCATTGACATGTTTTTTAATTTGAATAGCTTTTTCCCTCATGGTGCTAATGTAGCAGATTGGATGAATTGTGGTCAGCCTCAAGTTCCAACTAATTAATTCTTGTCTAAGATACTCTGTCGAGTCTAAAGCTCTGAAATAACTTTTCTTTTCTGCTTGTTGCACATTGGTTTTTCAGCCTCTCAAATCAAAATGCATGTATGCCATGGTATTATAATTTATAAATGTGGATGACGTTGCAAACTTTTTAATTCTGAAAGGCATGTTATTAATCCTACAATCTCAATGCCATGATCAACATTAAGTGCTTTTTACCTGCATTGTTTGTTTAAAAAATAAACTATACTTATAGACGAGTTACAGGTGTAAGCTATTCTTCATCTGTTCCATTGCAGATGTCCGTTGCAATAAAGAAGATTTTGTATGCTGCTGATGGAAAGGAATCAGCGTTAGAAGAAGCTCAGGATTATCTTAACCTAAACTTGAATATTGATGAGGCTGAGGAACAAGCTGAAGCTGAAGCTGACCCGAGCCCGAAACTTGATCATCTTATAAAAATAGCCTGTCCTGATGCTGTTTAACAAGCCTACTGCTGTTTTTAGTAACATGATGCCGCTGATCCTTGTGGCTATGGAATGGTGCTTTTGTTACCCTTGAACGAGCTGGATGGACAACGACAGAGCAAGTAATAACTAGTCTTTCTAGCGCAGGTTTTATCACCATCCTTTTCTTCTACTGAATAAGATTATAAAAACTTCTAACTACTGTAGTTTGAGGAATGGAAGTGGTTATTATAGGCTTATAGCTACAGACCATGGTTGGGAGTATCGTTTTGTGGGCCCCCTGTTATTTATGATATTAGCTGCCTAGTTTTTTGAGTGCTTTTTTATGTCTCGAACAACGTGACTACTGTATTTAACTTTGTCAATTATTTCAATTTTAATTTATGAAATCAGTCTTAACTTATCAGTATGTCTACCAAGACAGTAATATCCCTCAAATTGTCTATGCGTTTCACGGTTCATTTCAGTTGAATTTAGTTGGGGATGGTGTTTTGCTGCATTTTCACTACAGAATCATTGAAATTTACATGTAATGTAATGGCCCTTCTTATCATTAGAGTTTTCAAATGAGGATATTAAAACTATTGAATAGAGCTAACTATTGGCATGAGAGGTATGGATTTTGGTCTTTTAAGCAAATGAAATGGTTCATGTAAACAGCAGAAGCCTTTGTCTTAAACTTCTAGCCTATAAATTTTTCAATCAATTAGTAATTCATAAATAAAAAGTCTTCATATTATTGAATATAAAATATAACAAATAAATTAACAGTAATATGAGAAATATAATTTTTACCAAGTTCATAGGTATTAAAGAATCCTTCCTCCATTTCCTTTGACTTTTAACAAATCATACTTGACTAAAATCATAGGCAGCATCAAATGGACGGAGAATCTGAATCATACTTCTAGTGGCTACTTGACTAAAGAATAATTTCAATTCTCCTTGAAGGCCTTTATGATCATTTTGTATTAAGAAGCTAATCAATAGGGCCATCCTTCATAACAAGCGATTCAAAAGTGGATATTTCACCAATGCTTCGTCGTTACTGATGTATTCTTCATGCAGGATGACTATATCCACTTTTTTTGTTTTTCTCCTTGGACAGCTAATGCTAATCATGTAGTTTTAACATTTTTACCGTTGATATAAACTGTTTTCCTTTAAAAACAAAAACAGAATGACAGCTATTCTGCAAAAATGGCAGAGCAACGTGGAAGCACGAAAATTGCTTCAGAAATAAGAGGAATAAGCCATCAACAATGTCCTCTCGACTGCATCCAGAACCCAAATCAAGAAATTTAAAAAATTCCCGAGAGCAATCCACACAATTTACCAGAAATCCGATATGGGAGCATGAAATCGAAGTATAGATTTCCAATAAAAGCATCTGGAAGCACGAAATCACAGTTACACAGAAGCACATGAAACCATTTGACAAACTCAAGAATCAATGTTAATCACATGAAATCGAAGCATGCCAGCATATATCTACGATATATGCCAAATCCACTAAATTTTCATTATGTTTATCGCTAAAGTACATGCATGAAATCGTCGTCGTCAATGCGCCATCATTGACTTCACAGTTCAAAGAATCACAAGCCTCCTTTCCCTCACGCCCCTCCACCCAAACCCATACACATTGCTAAATTTGATCCCTCAAACCAGGACCTCTCGAGAAGCAAGAACCCTCATCCATGCTGGACACCAAAAGGGAGCTACAAAAGTCAACATAGCTTCACCTTGAGGTCCTGAACTGTACTTTTGTTAATCAATTTACTTGAATCGCTTGAATGGGAGAAGAGGGGAAGAGACACAGGCTAACTAGGAATAATACCAACATAGCTTCTGCTTTTCTAACTCCATAATCTATATACCTTAGGTGTCACAACTATGAGATTTTAAATGTATGACCAAGCCTGATATAATTACATACTACAAATACCATACAAGGACTCCCAAAAAAAAAAAAAAAAAATCAGCTATCCCCAACAACAACAAGAAGACAAATTACAGAACCAAGCCTAAATGTCCATGAAACACATCCTCTCATCTAAGACGTGCGACAATATTACACTTTACATGATTGAAGAAACAATACTCAGTACACATAACTATGATCATCATACGCTGTATAGCCTTCATTCCTCCTCCTTGATTTATCAGCCTACACAAAAGGGGTTAATGTCATGAAGAATTAATAAAATAGTGCACATATATCTGCAATGCAATCATAAAGTTTTAGAAATTGGAAATACCCTGTTGACCATATTTTCAAATGCTTCTGTTCCATGCTCTTGAATATACCTCTCTGCAGCAGTTAGAATGTCATCTGGCTTACTGAAGAAGTCCTTTTTTCTTGGGACATACCAGATATTAACAATAGTCTGAGGATTGACAAATAAGGGCCTCACGTAATGCTCGTAAACATAAGCAGCACCATTGAAGTAAGGGAGGACCAGCCAGCTGGTTAGGATCAGCTTTGCATATGACCAGAAAGGGATCCTGCAATAAAAGCTTGAGAAATTATTTTGTAGTCTAGTGTCATTTCGTCAAAATATCTTATGCCAATAATCACATAAAATAGATCGAAGTTGATACATGACCGACATTATATAATATGGTAATTCTATGGAGAGATTTACCTCTAAAAAGGTTGAGGCTTCGCTTTATTAGATGTACTCTCACATTATGATTTAGAATATTAGGGTGAGAATCGTAAGATAAATCTAATGATAAGAAAGATCACCTTCGTGAAAGATAGACCTCTCAGTAGCATTACCATTTAAGTATTCTTCCATTGATGCAAAACCCATTAAGCATTCCATGATAGCAGTACGTCCAATTTTCCGATCCTTTATTCTTAAATCTTCATTTTTGTATACGTAAGACAGCTTTATAGAAAACTACAATCACAATGGGAAAGATAGGATGTAGTGTCTCCAAGAAAATCCTGAGACAACTTAAATGAAATTAAACTTGTATTGAGTTTCATAAGTTTCCTTAAAATGCATCAACGCGATGTGCATATCAAAACGGATGCTACAAACATACAAGTTTTTAGGGGGTTATCCAAAAAGATTTCGTACAAAACAGAACATGCACTTTACCCATGATCGGAAAAATATTTGTAGAAGACAATGGAAAACGGTTCAAAAGATTAATCATGCTGCTGGCAACCCTCAAAAAATTACTCTCGGGATAAAATCTAGAGCGTCTTCCGTTTAACAAGTGAACCATATAAAAAGAACAAAAAATAATTCATAGCAATAGGAAAGAAACTTGATTACCATTCAAGAACTTTGTAAAAAGTAAGCTCGAATAGGGTGATCATGGAATAGAGAATCCAATAAGTGAGCCATTGCTGGTCATCCACTGGAGACTTGCTCTCGATTGCCTTAATTGAGGCATATCTATAATCGTACATTTAATCCCACAAGACAAAATATTAAATTCAGTGTCCACGAGATTTGCCAGGCCAGTTAAAATAAAATAAATAAATAAGATTAAACATAGTGCTTACAAAGGATAAACGAGACTGATCAAGGGGCTGCACGAAGAATCCGAACAATACGTTATCAGTCAGAGTGAAATGACAACGGCATTGAAATTTAAAAAAAAAAATGAGTTTCCAAAGGAGAAGACAGTCAAGATCAGCTTCATGGTAACTTGTAGAGAGAGAAAAGATATTACCCAGCAAGAATATCGAAGTTGCTGAGAAGCACTTTGAGGAAATTTCTAGTCCCAGACGCCATTTCTACACTATGATCTGCCGAAGTGAATCTGTGACTCCAGGATTTCGATCAGATCGAAGAGAACCGGGGAGGGGGGGTTGGGGTTTGCTGTGTACAAAACGAGTGTGGCCAGGGGGAGTGAGAGATGGAATATTGTGCATCCGAGCGTACACCCCAATTGCCAGTCACATCGTGCGATCCTGAAGTCTGGCCACAGGTTATTTGCTTTCGAGCGTTGATCCCTTGATCATAATGAAGGACCACTCTGGGGCCTGGGCTTCAGGCACCGAATCTGTTTCACTAAGGACCGTTGATCCCTTGATCGTCGCTTGTTTTCTTTTGTTTTGTGGTCTTCATTTTGTACTCTGGTTAGCCTGTTAATATTAGTTCCATTTTCATTAAAAAAAAAAAAAAAGATCGTCGCTTATATTTTTAAATTACAGTGTGTGGTATATCATCACCCATTACCCAACGCCAGCGTTAGCAATGTAGCTTCATTGGTGATAAAAAAATAGGGGCCTAAGTGATGTATTTTTACTCTGATCTCATTCCCATTAAATTAATTATTTATCAAATAGCTTTGGCCTTTTGCTGAAAACAAGCACGGATCCCTCTGTTCCTAAATAGATGACATTTTTTATAGCCTCAGCAGAAATAGTAAGATTAAAATAGTTGTAAACAAGGGTCATCTTTTTGAAAAAAATAATAATTAATATTTCAACTTCTTATGCAAAATGATCAATATATAAAACTGATAAATTATTCTAGAAAATGACTAATATATAAAACTTTGGTGTGGAATGTGGAAAGCAATTACCTAAGTCTGGCAAAGCATAAATTTGCAGGGATCTTCAAGGGAGTAAAGATAGAGATAGGACGTAGCCTTTTACTAATATGCTCGGGGCATGTCCCCATTACGAAAGCCATATACAGTGATAGAAGCAATTCCCCTCTTCATCTGTGCTGAAGCCTGAAAATCAATATATGCTCCAGGTGCTACTCCCAGCTAGAAACAAACATTCTCTAAAGTATAGATTGAATCGTTTATAATAGCTTATCATTTCACAAGTGACACAACAAATATGATTATTATATATGAAATTTGCTTTTTCTTTACATTCATCATTTTTTAATCATATGGAATTAGACCTCTATTAACTTTGGAAGATTCGAATTGTCCGTAATAAGGTTCTCCAGTCAAGCTTACTTTTTCAAGCTATCATTCCGCCTAAAGCATCCACTGGGAACAGGACCAAAAGCTCGAGTCGAAAGTTAATTCCATCATTAAATAAATGAGTGAGTGCCATATAGGACTAAAGACATCTACTACATAATCTATGTACGAAGGCTCCGGAATGTTATTGCTAATTTAGAAATGAACCAGCTCTACCGGTGCAGCTGACAATTACTGAGAGTGCCACGTAGGACTAACGGCATCCGCTATATAATCTATGTACGAAAGCTCCAGAGTGTTCTTGCTAATTCAAACTTCCTTTAGCTTGATGTTGGTTGCTCTCCAAGCAGCTGTGATGGCCATGAGTCTGCAGGGGTGGGATACCTAGCATGAGGCTTGCTCACAATGGAGTTTGAGGTGAGCTCAGAGACTACTGGAGCGGGAAAAGAAGGCTGAAGGTGAGGACGGAAGGGGACAACTAAGACAGCAGGTCCTTGCTGCAGTGACGGATCAACAGAAGGCAATTGCAGACACTCTCTGGAAAAGACTGTTTGCTCTGGTGGCTCAAGTTCCATAGGAGGAGGTGCATTTAGGTCAGGTTTGGATTGTGCTACTCGTGCTCCTATCTCGCCTTGAAGTTCCTCAATTTGTGTTTCTAGAGCAGAATTTTCCTCCTTCAGCTCATTTTTCTCCATGATCACCTGCTCAAGTGCATTAAAAAATTCGTTATTGACATCTAAAGCCTACGTATCAGTTTTTGACAAGCAGAAGAAACTAGCAGAGATATTGGATTGTCAATCCATAAATTGAAGAGAAAGGAGTAACAAGCGTGTCAAGTGCTTACATAATGTGATTCAGACAGCAGAGAAGTGTTCTCCTTCTTAAGGGTCTCAATCTGACCAAGCAGGTCCCTTAGCAGCTTCGTGGCTTCACACAATATGGATGCCTTTCCATTGTTTTGCTGACCTAGTTCTGTTCAACCCAACCCACCCCAAAAGCAAAGTTACAGGGGTAAAACTAATATCATAGCCGATAAAATGATGAGGGTGACTTGATCTATAATGTAAAAGCAGAAAGTATTACTAAGGTTGATTGAATGAAGGAAACACAACGATAGACAAGTTCCAAAAAAATTTTAAGGTAAAATATTCTCTCCTCGATTACGAAATACTTCAATTGCCCAGCACTCTCTTCCAATATGACCACATTCACAAATCCCCTGAAGCCAGAGCAAGACTAAGAATCGTCAAGAATAATACTGTTTCTTCCATTAAAAATACAACACGAGAGATTTTCTTGACAAAAAAGAATCATTCCATTATTTATTTCGTCTGAAAACTATCACTAATTTAATCTTAGCTTAAAAAATAACTATTATTTTAGTATTGATCAAAATAAAAAAGTGCGTAGGTCAAGAGAGGGGAGTGCAGATTTTCAAAATAGAAGAGTCACGTAGTTCAGATATCTCTCAAAAGAAGGGTCAGGGAGCGTCATTGAAGAAAAACTCAAACGAGATCGTGGCTCAAGAACTTACCAAGAGCATTGGCAAGATCAAGAAAGAGATCATTCAAATGCTCACGCTTCATTTTCTCCCTTTCAGCCTTGTGAATTCTTTTGGGGATTTTCCCTTGGTTCTTTTTACCAGGACAAGAGCTGCAGCACACAAGGATTTCAGAGATAAATTTGTGGACCAACAATTACAACTAATAAACATACATAAGAAATCAAACACAAAAACACTAATAAAACTTATTCCTGTATTAGTCTGTAACACGATTAACCCAATACATCAAAAGCTTTGAAACCAATTCCATGTGTTTGTGGCTTGAAGAACATATTAAAAGAAGACTAATTTAGCATGGGTCGACAAATATGCTTTGGAAACAAATGGATCAAATGATGAACCAGAAAGAAAGTAGTCGACAAAATCTCAGAGTCTACACAACAATTTTACAATGTATAGACTATTAAATGTACTATAAACATGAAAGGCATATCAACTGACAGTAAAAACCAAAGGCATTAGAATGACTGACCTGGTTTTTGACGTTCCTTCTAACATATTGAGTTCCTCAGCCGCCAGAGCGGGAGCTTCTGATCCCATGAAATAAGCAACAAAAACCAGGGATGCCTTTACACAATTCTTGCGATACAACACAAACTCCTAAAAGTAGACACACAACAAAAATCCACGTCAATCTAGTACGAGATTGTGAATGGCACAGAACATTTAATAGACAAAACCCCAGTACTTCAGAAGCCAATACAAGAAGTAAACCTAACTACCAGTTGTTACGATCTGCCTCCACTTTCATGTTTCCTCCCGATCCCCCCCCCCCATCGATATAGAAAAAATGATCGACTAGAATTGGATAAACTAACAAATCCAATTAATGCATAACAAAGTAGCAACTAGCCTAGCAGTATTGTTAGACGGTAAAATCGCTGTGAGATACCCAAGATGCCAGCAACAGCAAATCGAATTCATCATTTCTCTTCTAATGAATTAAGGCAATCAATTCCCCAAATTTGATATTTACAAAAGTCTATCCACAAGCAACCAGAGAGGGCGTCCAGAAAATCATTGGATGAAGCTCAAAAGACAATCAAGCACTATGAAAGCAATGACAAGCAGATGTTCGAAGATACGTAAGAAGAGAAGAGCTCTTACCTTCTCGCAACCGAATGGACAGGATAGAGAAAAGGGGGGGAAACTCGGAACTGGAGGGGAAGGATAAAATTCAAGGCAAGGCAAGGGATAGAACAGTTGGGTGTTGGTCGAGGATGATTAAGGCGAGAGGGGAGAGGGGGGAGAGAGAGAGAGGGGGGGGGAAGGATATTTTGTAAAAATAAGGAGGAGGAGGAGGAGGAGGAAGGAGGCGGCGAGACGGAGAGAGAGTGTGGCGGGAGAGGACCTGTCACAGGAAGGCGCGTGGCGAGCCCGTACTGTTTTGGTTGGACGAAGCACTCCAAATGAGTTTCCCACGTGATCTTCGTCTCTTCTACTTTTCTTCTTCTCTGGCGCCCACTATATCCTCACTCCCCACCTCATCGTTCACTTCCCTCTACGCACAAGCCCTAATCGTTCACTGATTAATAAAAATTAATCTTTCAATCCACATACTTTACCTCGATTTTAAATCCATCCCTATAATTTCCCACTTAACAAAATTCCTTCTAATGCTTAAAATATAAGCCCGTGTCAATGAATACAATATCCTTCGAAAAGTTACTCTTAATTTGATCAAATCTAATCTAGTCACATAACTATATAAAAAAAAATATAATTGATAGTTAACTTGGCCCCAAAAAAAATATAACTGATAGTTAATATAATTATATAATCAGCAGTTGAATGCACGGCCCCCTCCCCCCGGTCGATCCACGTGACAGCTTTATCTGATGATGTGGCAAACCACGTGGACCTCATGCCACACCGCTACAGCCTGCAACAAATAAACCCTTGTTGCTGGAAAACTTTCTAGTTGTTGCTGGGGGCGACATGCGATGCAATTCTTCAAGCAAAAAAATAAGGTCAAGTATAGGTTCTATTTATGTCGCCATCATCAGCAATACCACATTAATTAGCGTGTCTCCTCAGTGTAACAATAATAAAAGGGACCAACAAAAAATTTGATAGATCGCCAAGCTCTGCTAAGTCTTTGGAAGAATCACAATGTAGGCCTTAAAAATAGAGAAAATTACGTTGCAAGTTTAAAAATTCTGATAATGCATTGCAAGTTTAAAGATTCTTGTTGTAATTTTTTTTGAGAATAAAAGTATAATTTTGTTCTTAATCAAAATGAAAGAAGTGAATTGAAAGTGGTGGAATGTGAACTTTACATGCATGAACGTTCAATTAAAAATTTATAAATATTGTGTTGTACATTATTTACGTAACTTATACATTTTATTAAACCTACTAATCAAGTGGACACGCATAGATATTGTGTTAAGAATTCATGAATATCGTGTTGTACATCCATGGATATTATGTTATGCTCTGCGTGACTATTTTAATTAATCTATAAACCAACTAGACATGTATGAACATCATGTTGAGAATTCATGAATATTGTATTGTGCATTTATAAACATTGTGTTGTATATTATCTGCATAACTTGTACATTTTATTGAACCCACTGATCAACTTGACATGTATAGACATTCAACTGAGAATGTATAAACATTGTGATGTGCATCTATGGACATTGCGTTGTACATTGTCGCATAACGTGTACATTTTATTAAACTTATTAATCAATTGAATATGCATGAATATTATGTTAAGAATTCATGAATATTATATTTAGAACGTATAAATATATATTGTGCATCCATGAATATTGTATTATACAAGCTCTGTGTGACTTGTATATTTTAATAAATCTATAAATCAACTGAATATATGAATATTATATTGGAAATTCATAAATATCATCTTGTCTTTTGTGGGTGAGGGTTTTGTGCTGAGTTTTTAAATCACATAAAGGTAAAGTTTTACTTCGGTTATTGAAAAAAATTTTAACAAATGTCCTTAGACTTGCAATGCATTATTAAAATTTATTAGGTCTAAAGTATAATTTTTTCTTTTTTTTTTGGCTGATTTTTTTTTTGTTTTTTAACGCCTGTAGTGTGATTTTCCTTGTTTCTTTTGTTTCTTTTTGGGTTTTCATCTTAAAAAGCATTTTGCCCAAAAAAAAAACTCAAGAGCCTGATCTAAAGGAAGAAACTTCATATCCAAGTTTTGATCCCTTGAGATAAAAAGAACATATGAAGACCAAGTTAAAAAATATAAAATGTGTATTGAACATCGGGATAAAATATATTCCCTCTATCTTTATATATAAAGTATTTTTTAAAAGCTTATGTTGTCACTAAATACAAAGGTTGACAATGACTTTTTGAGTAATTAAATAATTTTATCCTTGTCTTAAAAAATGTAATAGATCATTAATTGTATATTTTTCTTATCATCATTATGATATTAATTATAATATTATTAGAAGTAAAATTAGAAAAATTATTATCTTTTTACGTAAGTTTAACTAAATAAAATTTTTTATAGATATATAATATTTTATTAAAAATATTTTATATATAAAAATGAAGGGAGTATAGAAAAAACTAAATGATGAAAGAATCACAGGAGAGAATATGGGAAATAGAAAAAGATAAGGGGTTGAGGGAACAATATGAAAAAATAGAATAAAGAAGAGAAAAGCGTGTGGCATCCACAGTAAGTAAGGGTGTGAAGAGGACGGGTGGGCCACGACACCCTTGCTTTACGGTTCTTACAATTTCAAAGCGCGTGGTTTCCACCTATCAATCTGCTTCGAGCCCTCAACTTCTCTTCTCCACGTTCCTCAATCTGCCACCTCACTCTGGGAAATAGTTAGATACTGTTGGAGCACCATTTCGTTTATACACCACCGCCACAGCAAAATAATTGTTAGGAAAATTAAGAAGAGAAAAATATTAACAAATATGATGATGAAAACCTTTTATTAACCAACTCGATAAATAATCACAAACAAATACAACATTTTGAAATATTACAAATAAATCAACCTTTAACTTAGGTGATACACCCTCTAATTTTATTTACAGGCCATTTATAGTATGTTTCACCAAAATTTTTTAAAAAATCTTAAATTTTATTAATTTTGTCTTAAAGCTTAATAAGGTTCACTTTTATCCTTAATAAATATTCTTAAATTTAATTATTAGTATTTTTATTTAAAAAATTTAATAAAAACAAAATGTAAAGAGAACTAGAGGAGCATTAAAATTGACAAATGTCTTATAAATAAAATTATTTTTTTTGTCTCTTTATTCTATAAATAAAATTAGAGGAATGATAAATCTCAAACAAAGAGAACTAATCATGAGGTGAGGGTCGTATTAATTTCCCTTCTTTCTAATCCAATCCAAAGTGATAGTACCCTTTATATATCTTTCAAATCACTAACTAACAAATAATTAACATCTAATCCCCTCTAATATTCCACCAACAACATTAATTTGAGGCATCTCTGCTTTAGATTTATTATAAATTAGCTCACATGATAAGAGAAATTTTGACAATTTTAAGTAATTACGGTTGAGATTTTGAGAGGATTTGGCCAAGTAATATTTTAAAATCATTTATTCTCGTTACTTTTTCTTTTGTTTTTTTTTTTTGGGGGGGGGGGGGAGGGGGCTGGTAGATTCAGAAATGTAATGAAATAAAAGATCGCTTAAAAAGTGTTGCCATTGACCAAAGAGGAAAAAAAATGTCTTGCAAGTTGCAACTACCACACTGAATTGATTACGCGATTATACAAATTTAGACCTCCTGTAATAAAAATATTACTCAATAATAAACCCAACAAGTAAAAGTGGGAATGTTCATTCTGCGGCGTCGTGGGTAATCAGAGGCCATTACACGTATACCAGAACCCTCATTGCATCAAGTAATATCATGTTTTATTAACAAGCATCCGTGTCACTGTTCAGAATCAGCTTTCATGTTCTCGAGCAGCCAAGTTTGAAGTTGCGAATGCTCATTCTTCCATTCAGTGCAAGGGCAAGCAAATCATGTTCCTCCACGTACCAGAGTTCAGACACCATTGCCTGCTCATATGATTGCAGTCAATGCATCAGTATGTCAAATAAAGGTTACGTAAGCTTAACGAAACATACTACCGATTCTAATTTTGCATGCCAAACCCATTTGATAATCAGAATTGAAAAAATAAAACAGGATGAAAAATTGGGGAAGGGGGGAATAATATTGAAAAAATAATGAAAATTATCAAGTAATAATTAATATATATATATATATATATAAGAGTTAAGGGTTTAAAGTATCCCTCAACGTGGAAAGGATCAGGGTTGCCTCTGAAGTCAACAAAGGATCATTTATATCCTCCAACCACTAAAATTTTTGATTCCATCACCTTGCCGTCTATTCCATCAAATTTCACCATTAGTGGGACATGCATTTGTATTTTTTAATATTTTTAATTGATCCCACCATTTTTTATCTTGTTAAGGAACTAAGATGCCCTTCAACTAAGCAAAAAGGATCAAAGTTGCCCTTAAAGTCAAGAAACGGTCATATCTTTCAACCACTAAGATTTTCAATTCCATCGTCATTTATTCCGTCAAATTTTACCATTAATAGGGCCACATTTATTACTAGGCCCCACCATTTTTTAAATATTTTTAATAGGTCTCCTTAGACCACACATTCGAGCGAGTTTTGTGCAAGCTTGTAAAAATTTAAACTTCACGCCACAGCTCTCCGATGGCTCCAAGCCTAATTTTTCTACCATAATTCCTAACCTTGTCCTCAAATTTGCCATTGCTGAATGGTGCCAGAACTCTTCCAACCATGTAGGCACATGATTCTAATGCAATCTTCAACTTGGCCATTCACGATAAGAACAAGACTACAATTGGCATGCTGGGTGCTCTGCTGCCACAACTCAAGCAAATGAGAGAGGGAATGAAGGGAGAGAGAGAAGAGATGGAGAGTAGGGAAAGAGGGAGGAGACAGAGGGGTATTTTTTCAAAAATTATAAAAAATATATTAAAAATGATGGGACCCACTAAAAATATTAAAAAATTTGAAATGTGTGCCCAATTAATGATAAAAATTGATAGAATAAATAGTAAGGCGATGGAATCGAAAATATTAGTGGTTCAGGGAATGACCCTTTCTTAACTTTAGGGGCGATTTTGACCCTCTCCACTTAGTTGAGGGATATTTTAGATCCTTAATCCAAAAAAAATATAATAAAAAATTATAAAGTGAGCCCCACTATTATATTTTATTATTAAAAATATTTGAAAAATTCATGTGGGCTCCACTAAAGGATAATTAATGGCAGGGGCACGGAGGAAGTAAAATTCTAAGGTTGAGAGATAAAATTGACTCCAAATTGAATTTAAAGTCATTTGTGAACTTTCGTATATAGTTCAGGATAAAAATGACCATTAACCCTATATATAATATGCAAGAGAAGGAAGGAGACGAAATCTGTCTCCTCCCTTGATGCCAATCAAGTCCAGTGGAATCCTTAGTTTTCTTTATTTTGGAGCGAACTTGGTCCTTTTGTGAGCCAACAATTTGGCCCAAGTTGAACCAAAATAAAAAAATTGAGGACTTAATTATAGAATATTTTCTTTCCGGGAACAAAATTCTATCAGTGAAAATTTCCAAGGATTAAATGGTAAAATGAGTATATAAAATTGCAATGCATATAGTTAATAATGACAGGTAACAGCTTGCTTTGCACCTGATCTGATGAATTAGGAAGAAAGCTTCACTCAACCAATCAGATGCTTTGATGCCAACTTTTTTAAGTTATAATTATAAAACTTGCTTCTCTAGAAATGTTATAACCACAAACCTTGAACCCATGGAGGTCTGTGTTGAGTCGTTTAACTAGCTCATGGAAGAATTGGAGTACGTCTGAGGTTGTATGCAGCTCCTGGAAGCGACAGAAATCGAGAGGTAATTAACATAAACCGGAAAAAGGGATTTTAACATAACATACTTTTCATTTCCTAGGCAAGAAAGCAGGGACGAATTAATAACATGAGCAAATTAAAATGAAAAACTATCATGCACGCCAACAATTCGTAATTGGAACATCATAAAGGTTATTTAGGTGATTCACCACAATATCACATTTCAAAGGTTGATATTCAATGGAATACTTAAATCTGCTCTTCATGTTCTTTCTTCTTCATTTGTTTTAATCTTTATTTAAACACCAGTTGACACTTTACCATTCCTCAAATATATTACCAAAAACAAAAAAAAAATCTGCCCAAGTATACGACAAAACAATAAAAATTTATAGTTATACAGTGCAATTCAATCACACTTCCATGTCCCTTAAATAAATTGATATCAGTAAGACTATGTATGTTGTTCACCCCTAAAAAGCATTCTAAAGATACAATTACTTTTGTTTGCCACAAGAGACAGAAAAATGCAATTGGATATGGTGAAAATCAGCTAAATATATGGTAAAGATTTGAAAGGAATACTGAAGATGAACACTACCGTAGACAATGCTTTAGGTGGACCCAAAAGCCTTGCAAAAGACGTGTGAAGAATAGCAGAATCATACTGCAGAAAGAATGACAGTAGAACAGCCAGAACCAAAAAGGTAAGAAAAGTCAGAGGCGTAAATAGCATTGTCAGATGAAGTTCGCAAATTAAATTGAGAAGAAGAAGCCACCCAATATAAACCAATAAAAAATATCATAAGTAGCAGTTGACCAATATGGCATGATACAATGATGGGCCCAAGAATCCAACAGCTTTAGTTTCAAGTAGGACAAATACATATTGCTTCTCATTTCCAAATAAATGGGAAAGACATTTAAGTGCAGATTGAGAAAAGAAATGGAGACGTAAATATATGAAAGTACGAGTGCACAACAAAATTGTTTTATAAATATACGAGAGATCAGTTATAACTTGATGAATTCTACAGAGAAAGTCTCAACTAAATAGAGCCAGAGAGAGGGCATTTCAGATTCATGCCAAAGAGGGCCATTCCCCACTTCATTCCCCACAAGATTCTAAATTCGTATTTTCGTATTTATGGCAATAGAAAATATCCTATTAAATTTTGAAATATTATGAGGTGCTGATGCTTCAGATGATGACAAATAAACTTGCTTCAAGCAGAATATTTATATGATTCTCACAAGTTGCTTCTCCGGTGCATGTGGAAGCACATTTCTTAACTTAGCACGAATAGCTATGGGATCTGTCCCAGAGATGACCTGTATGACAAGCGCACGTAATTAGTCCAGTGTTATGAAATGCTATCTGAAATCCTAAAAGATACAATCCATTGAAATGATTCAAAAAACATAGATATGGTTTCAGATTTTTTTAATAAATAGATTAAAGAAAGTAAGTTTCTGCGATATTTTGACATCCATTGCCTGTTACAGAAAATTAAGAGTTGATAACTAAATCAACAAGAAGGTTTCGCACTTTGGCTTCTGAAAGTGGCTAAGAGATAAGCGTTTGATTTTTCCTTCTCATTGTGGAAACAGCAATGCCAAAAATTTCTGGCATTAAACCTTAAAATACAGAATGAATCAAACAATAAAGGATCATAAATTGTAAGCATATCGGCTGGTTGAGTGGTAATGGCAATTTGAACTCCAGGAAATGGCAATGGTTCAGTTTCTGGAGACACTAATTTTTGCATGGACGGATACCCTTGGCATTCACTGAAGGGGAAAAAACAGAAACTTCAAAGTTTAATCATTGAAGATCAAATACTTCTTAGTTTTGTCTTGGTCAAACCTCACAATTGTGATTTTTTACTGGACAGATCTCTTTGTATCATACTGGGAGAGAAAGGGTGAGAAGAAAGCATCAAGGAATCATGTACACAACTGGTGCAAACCATACCCTTTTGTGGATGTGCTGAGAGTAAAGAGAAAAGATAAGAGAGAATTCAGATTATAGAAAGTAACCTGCCAACAACCCAAAAGCACTCCTGTTGAAGTCAGAACCACCCTATCTAATACAATATTCAAAGGGCAGAATGTCCGAGCAACAGCTTGCACAGAGGATGCTTCAGCATCTATCTGAAAATAAATTTTGCTTGTGTTAGATTAGTGTGTTGCCAAGAAGCAGCAACAATATGCATTGAAAGGTTACCTCTTCTTTGGTGGCAGGTACAGGTGCAATGTGATGGGAGGCGTGAAACATGCTGAAGTGGTACATACTAGAGTTCTGAAACCAGATTGCTAATCGACAAATGTGAAAGAATGCCAGTGAATTGAAACAAAAGAAGGGGGGGAAGTTGAAGCTATTCAAGATTTTTTTGAGAAATAGATGCCGATGAGTGAATTGAAACCTGTCACTGAATCCAAGATAGCTTACCTTTATCAAAGTATGGGTGGAAAATATTCTTTACAGCCTTCCTGCGTCATGCAAGCCAGAAGTGAAAAGTTGAAAATAGAAGACAAAATAATAATGAAGGATTTGCAATGTTGAGGATACAGTGAAAATCGTAATTTATATAAGTGGTATCTTATGCCTCTTTTTCTGGGAAAACATAAAGGATTGGAAGATGAACATGTCCAATATGAAGACATTTGCATAGGATACCATAACATATTTCTCCTCATAAAGTGTTAAAAGACCATTAACTGGAAATATCATACAGAACAATCACTAATATCATAAAATGAGTCTTTGTGTAACCTAGAGTTCATAAAGATAAATGAAAAATTAAAACTAGAAAATAAACACTGTCCAGCATAATTATAGTCTCCACCAGCCTATCTTTTCTGAGTCTTAGAAAGAAAGAGGATGAATACTGGAAACTACTACGGGGCAGACCAGTTGACCGAAAGGCAAATGCATTTACTACTTCTGTACTATGAACCATCAAGCATGAAGCTCTAAAGAGCATACCATATTTTATCTATGAATCTATGAATCTCCTAAAAACCTGTGCAAAAGGATGTAAAATTTTAGTTTGAATCCCATTTCCATTAATGGTTGGCACAAACAAGTACTCCCTCCTTTTCTATATGTAAGAGAAAAAAATTGTATCACATAATTTAAGAAAGTTAGTTAATCATAATAATTATGTCTGAAAATAAAGAACTTGGATTAAAATATCCTATGTTAATCAACATAAGCATACATTAATTATTTTTCGTTAATGTAAATTATGAGGGATGATTTAGGAAATGTGTAATAAATGTTTATTAAAATATGTGATTTTTCTCATATAAAAAAATAAGTAAAAAGTGGCAGTTTCTCTAACAAATACAAACGAAGTAGTATCTCTCAAGTGTCCATTTTGAAATATTTTGTCAGAATCTTTCAGTTTTTCCTGCATAAGGGCTCAATAAGGTTTTCACTCTACTTAACGATGCACCAACTAGAAGTTTCCAGAGAACTCTAACTTTCATTTCCATCAACAACAATACTACTAGAATGTGCATCCTAATGTTGACTGATCTGCTTTGCAAAAGTTCACAGAGCCGAGCGGATGGTGCTACCCATATCAGATAAAGGAGGCAGCAAAATAAAAAATGGCTAGGGTATCAAAACATGATCATCCAATTCCAAACAATATCCGTCCAAGAAAAAATATGTCCTGAGTGTATAATCATGATTATTTTTTAGGTGAAAAGAATTCAGCAAAGGTGTATAGTCATGATTATTAATTATACACCTGGAGTAAGGAGAAAAAAGTTCCAGTGCTTACGCTATGGGAGTTGAGAATTCAGTGCTCAAATACAACACATTAGCTCTTACAGGAGGTTTTGCTGGCTGCACACAGGAAGTAGCCATTAACTACCAGTCAAAGTATTAATGAATTAACAAATTAAATTACTTCACATTACCTTTAGTACTGGTGTTACCGACCCATCCTTTAGGGTAAAGATATCAGAAAGAGACAATGACTGAGAGGTATAACCATGTTTTAGGAAAGCAGCTCCATGCTCATCTAGATCTCTTTCCATCTTTTGATACAATTTGGATCTTCTTTCTGAGTTTGAAATTGTCGAATCTGGTCCAATTCCTTCCAAACTTGTTATTAATTCACACTATGCCCCGCTTGAACTGATAAGCATATACATGCATATTTGCACACAAAAATTCTCCACCAAAATAAAAATTAGATTTTAAAAACCTTGGTTAACTTCAAGGGATTGGCCTAATGGTTAAGGAAAAATGTCCCTACCTTGACTACCTGGGTCTAAACCTAGGGCCAACACCTAAGGGAATTAATTAAAAGAGCAAAGGAAACTTACGTCGATAATTTATATGGGATTAGTAAGATAAGAAAAGCCATAATTTTGTCAATTCTAACCTGCTGAACGAACTAATCAGCAAGTTGAGGAATTTGCACCCTGATGTACTCAAAGCTTCTCTGTGAATTATGATACTCTAGCTAGTAATGTAATCTACTCTAGTTAAATACAAGACAAGCAATTTATTACCAAGATATGGACTTAAAATACTGGATTTTCTTGTTCAAAAGTAGCAAAGAATGAAATAATTTGTTCAGTGGGGTGGGATTGAGCTTGAGGAAATAGATTCACGATAGTCATTGATACTCTATAACAGAGTAATTCTGCTAAAACAGGAACCAATTGCTTCAAGATCGAATCAGGAATATCTTCAGTTCTAGCTAATGCTAGAGGCTGTGACCCGCCTTGCTCGGAATCACGACTCGGCAGAAAAATACACCAGACGAATTTCTAATCGGCTAAATTGTTAAATTAAAGATAGGAAAATTAATTCTTCATCTGAATTATTGCATCCACAGTGAAGTTATATGGTTTTGTAAGCAAGTTTTTATTGTCTTTCACCCTGGGTGATCAAGCTTCAATTGTAGGGGGCTGCAAATTTAAACAAGTGGAGAAAGTAATTACCTAAAGAAGATGGCACCACGGCGTGTGAAGAATTGAGTATAGCCATTCGAAACAAGAAGAAGAATAAGAATGCAGACATAAGCCAGATCAGAGCTACCGTTTTGGAATGAGTCCACCAGTTCACAGTTCTCCCCGTCATTTCGATTCGTTGTCCAGTGCAAAGGACCGAACAGTGTGTAAAGAGTACTAATCAAGGAAGTAGCTTCACCATTATCCCATTCACAGATTCGCTCCCACGGTTGATGATGGCGTGTCTTTGGGCCTTGATTCTTACCATTCATTTCACTGTTTTAAGTCATGTTTGGTAGGTTGAAATTTTAAAGATAAAAATAAAATTAAGATAAGAATTTAAATAAAATAATATTTGAGAGATATAAATTATAATTTTTATGAATCTTAATTTCATAAAAATAGGCTGAATTGAATTCTTTACTTAAAACCGAACAATTTTATGAAATTATAACTTTTAAAATATTTTTACTTTCATAAAAAAATTAAAAAGACAAATTTATCCTAAAGACATATAACCCTAACTACACTCAGAATCGACCATTAGGTGTTCAAAAAGAGCAAAGACAAGAGAGCGGTGGGAAGATCAAGAAGCATGATGGACTATCAATGATACAATCTAGATAGATATTTTGGATTTTGCAATCAAGGTTTGGCAATGGACTTCCCTCCATCCCTTTTTATGTTGGATTTTATATCCCTCCCCTGTCTCCCCTGTCTTTGGATGTCGGCGGCTTTTTTTTTTGTTAAAGTGCTTCTTCTTCTTCTTCTTCTTCTTCTTGTTGATGTGAGAAGGTTTGAGCTCAATCATAGTCCCTCTAGTGTAAAGTTATATTATGTGATAGTTGATATGCTTTGTCATCTCTTGTGCTTGGTACCCTCTATTTTTATAAATTGATTTGCCTACTATAATTTACACTTTAATAGAACAATAGACGAGTTAGCAAGTTTTTATTGGGATAGATAAGCTAGTGTTTTGCTATTTTGCCTTGACCCATTAACCCACCCTTAAATGTCATACAAATCGTCTACTATTTTGCCTCTGTCAAAGAAAAAGTGTGAAAAAAAAATAGAACAAGCTAGAAGTCTTCTTATGAAACAATCTCTAAGCAAATAGTCTTTCACTAGGCTTATGAGAAACAAGTCTTCCTTTGACAAAATTAATAGGTTTTATTACATTATTCCTCTACTTGTATAAAATTTTCTCGAATGGACTTTTTTCAATTGAGGGGGTGGTTTTTGTTTGTTCAAACTGCAATAACTTATACTAATGAAGCCATATGGTCTTCAATGAATCCATCTTGATTTTAGTACTTGATGTTTCCTGTGTTGCTGCTGTTTGATTCTTGTTTTGTTTTATTTTCCTTGTGTCTTCTTTGTTTATTTTATTCTCTATTTTTGCTTGATAATATTATCCTTTCTACTACAAAAAACTGACAATCTAGTTACTTGTTTTATCTAAAGAACTTGTTATAGTATGCATCCATTATTGTATTGTGTGTTTGTTGTTAACAATAATGACTTGTAGTTGTAATTGTTTGATTTTAGTTTATTATTGTGTAGTCACGGTGCATGTGTGGAATCTTGAAGAAGATGGTTTACTTGTTGAGATGTGTCTTAGAGGACAATATATGGTTGATAACAATTTCATGAATGGTTATGCAAATCATTTGTCAACTATGATGGAACAAAGACATCCGGAAACAGGAATAAGTAGTATTGAGATATTGTCTTGATTAAAAAGTCCAAGGCATGAATAGATATTGGTGTTTGATATGGTATATGATGAAAATGAAAATGGCTTTAGGTGGGTCCCACAATAAATTGTGTCATGAAAGATGATATTATATGGACTCAATTATTGAAAATTGTGTCTTAAGGCCAATCATTGTACTATGTACATTGTTATTTAATAAATTTCTCTTTTGTTATTATATTAATTGCATATTCACTATGATAACCGTATTCTTGGACAAACTATAGTGATTATTTTAAATATTTTTAGTCGGTCATTTATGAGGGATCATAGATAAAACAAAACTAGTACGACTTTAAATAATTATAGAGATATAAATCAAAGTCGTAGGCATTTGAAAGAGTACAAGGCGCTGGACCGACCTGTTATGAGAAAGTTGTATGGTACAAGTTATAAGTTTATCTCATATGTAACTATATTACTAAGCCCTTTGACTTGAGATCATTATGGATTCCTATATAATGACTGCTGAACTTTGACCTAGTCAAAAGTCACCTTTGATTGGGTGATCATAAAGGCTGTGATTGAGTGTAGTGATATTCATGTAGAGGAATATAAGTGGTTAAGATGAAATTTGTTCCTTATGTTAATTGAGAAATATTATTGAGCCCCTTCATAAGTAAAACTGAGAAAATATATGGCCATATTATAATGAAAGGGTTTTTTCATTGTTATAATGAGTTTAACTAGATATCGAGAAAGTAATAGTTAAATAAAGGAGTATGACAATTTCATGTCTCACACTTGACTGAAATATCGTGTGACAAAAGAGATGTAATACAGTTACATGATAAATTATATTGGATCATTGATCCCCATATGACTTAGGTAGTTATAATGTCTTGTTAGAGGCCATTTGTGACTTATGGGCTAACAACATAATTAGCCTACTGCCAACTTCATGTAGGCTTATAAAGTTGTACACAAGAATAGTTCAACTTGAACTATAATGTTCAAGTTCATTAAATCTAAAATGTGTTTAAATTCAATAAATATAATGCTTTTCTAAGGTAAACGAATTATATATATATATATATATGAATATTTATTTGATAAATATTTGTATATATATATTTATATAAAATATAATGTGTGTGTGTGTGTGTGTGTGTGTGTGTGTGTGTGATTTTTTAAGGAGTTGAATGCTAAAAAATATAAGATATTTTTAGTCTTTTTAGGTGTAATTATTGTTTTTTTTAAAGTGCTCTTATTGATAATGACTTTATATTTATTATACAGTATTTAATAGGGATAAATATAAAAAAATAAGGTTAGTTAAAAAATAGATAACTATTTTATTAGGAGGTAAGATTTAGTTAAAAATGCTTTATATTTTTAAATGGAGGGAGTATAACATAATATATATATATTTCAAAAATATATGTGATATACATATTATCTTATATTGTGTTAGTTTTAAATTTAATTTTATATAATAGATTAAATTTAATAACTAACATGATATGAGAGAATATCATATCAGTTACATAATTTAAATTTATGAGATAAATTTAAATTAGGTATGATATGATATATTAAATTTATGAGATAAATTTAATTAAATTTTTGTGAGCTCTTCAAGTGGAAGGCGAAAACCCTAATCTATATACTATATATAGATAGGGATGTGCTTTAGAAAACCAGTAATAGTCAGAAAAGTCCGGATGGTAAAATGCAGTGAGAGTCACAAAAACACCCTAGAGAAAATATTGTTTGAGCATTGGCACGCCATTTAAGTTAAAAGCCATTCATGTGGATACTGGTAGAGGGAGTATATTTTATATTGTCAACTCTTGAGATTCAATTTCTTGAAGACAACATGTGAAAAGCTCACAATTAAAAAGGTAATTGTTATATTCATATTAACTTAGACGAGTTCATTTATTTGATCCGCATCAGGATAGAAATTTAAAATTTAATCTTCCGTTGTGCCTCCCTATCCAACACTCAATATATTCATGTAATGAGTGAATTCACCTTTATTTTTTATTTACACATAATATATCTTACTTGCAATTTTTTTTTTCCCGAATCATTGACGTGCTGCCATAATCAGGAACAAAACTTTTCCTCACTTTTGAAGCTTATGCATTGTATGGGCAAGAATGGAAAGAAATGTGTAGGGGTAGAAGAATGAAAGTTTAGTATTAGTTATTTTGTTGTTTCTTGTAATTATGATTAGTTTGGAGGCATTATAAATCATGACATTCTATAATGAAGACTAATACTGTATCATTTGCATTTTTAGAAGCAGACATGTTGTTCTTGTCATTTTAAATTATGTATTTTGGGACTTGTATTGAAGTAAATGTAATGCATTTTGTTATATAACTCTAATTTTATGTTTAATTTCATTATTGTTGAGCTGAAGTATCTGAATTTGCTTTGAAAACTAATAAACAAAAAAGGTACGCCTTTATATAAATTATAATATATGTGTGTATGTATAAAATGTAGTATGATTTATATATTTATAACATTTCTTCTATGAATATTTTACTTATATATAATATTTATCATCTATATAATATTTTTTTATATATTAAACATATGAGGAAATTAAAACACACAATTAAGTTTTTAATATATTTTAATTTAACTTTAATTTTTAGCAGTATTTTTGGCTTTTAAGCATAATTCTATTTCCATGTCTTACATACCAAATATACTTTTAAAATTTAATTCCATTTCAATTTTGATTCCAATTCTAATTTCATAAAAAACTATTCAATCATATTAAATGAGGCCTTAGTTTAGTTTTTTTCCTTTTCCTTTTCTTTTACTTTTTTACATTGAAATTCATATAAATTAATTAAAGAAAAATTATTAAAGTGCTCCCGCCATCCCAAATTATAAAATACTTTTAGATAAAATTTTATATATCAATAAATCTCATTAAATAAATTTAACAACTTTTTTTTTAAAATAAAAATATAAACTTCAAAAAATATTCAAATTTAATATATGGAAAAGAGAATAAATGTAAATTAATTATAAAGAGAGAAAAGGGTAATATTGAAATTAGTGTATTCAATGAAATCTTAATCTATCAAAAGTGTCTTATATTTTAGAATGGATAAACTCCTTCAAAAGTGCCTTATAATTTGGGATAAAGAGAGTATCTTATTTATTTTAATGTATTATTCATTCAAAATAATTTCTTATTATATCAAAGCAATAATTTATATGATATTTTAATAAAACATAACAAGAGTAAAAATGAATTTTATATATTTAAATAAGGATCATTATTCCCTATAATTTTACTAGACTTTGTTTTTACTACCCATGTGATTTGTTTTTTCAGTGTCTTTTAGTCATTGTAATTCCTATAATTTAACACTATCAGGAAATTAAGGAACAAATATCACCCAATTTTATTGAAACTATAAAGACAAAAAAAAAGAACTAAAAGTAAAATTATATGAACCAATCATTGGTTTTTTCTAATTTGAATGTGTATGGTGATTTTGCAAAAACTTAAAATTAATATT